ACATTTTGAACTTTTGGGGAAGGGGGAAGTTTGCCAAATCTGACACAAAGGGTGTATCAGTATGCCTCACGACATAATCCACAGTCTTAGGTCCTTATGCCTTCATGGCGTTGAAGACGTTGCCCAGTTGATTCTGCACTTCCTTGATTTTTTTGTCCTAGTGATTAAGAGCTCCTTTGAAATTGTCATAGAAATGACTCTCATGCTCCACACTTTGATTTTCACCCTTATCCTCTTGGAAACTAGGGTTTTCACCATGGGAAGAGGAAGCTGGAGGAAGAGGTAGAGGTCCTCATGGTTCTGATGAGGGGTTCCCCTGTATGGGGCCCTTCATCCCAAGGGGGCGCACAAGTGGGGAACTCCTTGACGCCCAAGGCATGGAGTGTGCTCCTCCTTGTTGTCTAGTGAGCATCAGTTGCAGGATCTGTTAATTCTTAGTTACGAACTGCTACATTGTTTCCAACATCTACGGTGCGTTCGAAACAGAATTGGTTAGTGGGTGGGCAACCTCTTCCCCTCGTGGTGGATTATCTTCAGGCTAATTCATAGATTTGGTGGTGATCGCCATAGGTATAGCAAGAAAAGTGATTAGGTGAGAATTTTCTCATTTTTCACAGACGGCACCAAACTGATGATGCACAAATTGGTATTATGCACCACCTGTCAATTGATTAGCAATTAATGTAGTAATTAAATAAAGAGAGAGTAACTCAAGCAAGACAAAGATGTAGAGTGGTTTGGTCAACGTGACCTACGTCCACTATAAAAGGCTAGCATGACCTGGGTATTTTATTACTTTGAGGAGCTGATGAGTGTGTTTTATACTTACAAATTGAGTATTTTTGGCTTGATGAAATTGTAAGTTTTCAAGTATTTTATATTCATTTTTATTCCTTTTTTGTGTTTTAATTTTTATTTTTTTTTGTAGTGATCATGATTTGGAAAGAAAAAATGTCATTTAGCAGCCTCAGTTTTGGATTAATTGTGAACCGAGCAACAAAGGCAGTTGTGCGCATAAAAGGAGATCAGCGTCGCAGCTTTAGATGTAGCGCTGCAGCTCTAGAAGGGTAGAAAGTCAGCGCAGCTACACTGATTTGTGGGGCTGCAGCGCAGGTTTTAGCATGGGAAATAAATTCTGACTTCTTTTTTAGTATGAATTGAACTCTAATGCTTCACACATGTTAGGGTTTAAGCAAAGATATATATATATATATATATATATATATATATATATATATATATACTATTAAAGAGGACTAGTAATAAGAGAGAATGAAGGATTGATAGTGAATTGAAGGCAAGGATCGAAGTAAAAACGCAAAGAAGATCGGAATTGAAGGCTAGAGAGAGATTGAAGATCGCAATACAGTTTTCATTCTTTTCTCCTACTTTTAGTTGTTGATTTTCTGAGATGTTTGATTAATTTGATGATGATGTTTTTCCATTACATTATGAACTAAATTTTTATTAAGATTGCAATAGAACCTGATGTTTAGTTAAATTAATTTACTTTCGTTTTCACTTGTGATTGATCATATATAAGTTGTTTATCATATTTTGTCCTTAATATATGATTATTTGGCTAACAATTAATTTGATTTTCTAGATGAAATTGGAAAATGAATTCTAAGGTTTGGATCTGAATATGATGACATGCGTCTGGTTAATTCTTTTTAGAATTAAATAGTTGGGTTTGTGTATAGGATAGAAAAATACCTATATGATGTGTGTAACTTTTGTGAGACTTTGAACTTAATGAATCGATTCCAACTTATTTTACATAAGAATATAGTGATTTGACTGGAATAAATATTTTTATCTAACCATCATAAGAAGTTTGATAATTAATTTTGAATTCTCAGATAACAGCTTATTTTAATCAATTAACTGGAAAGAGAGTGGAAAGATTTTTACGAAGCATTAGAGAAAATTGTAATCTTAAGTTCTTTTATCCAGTGAAATCAATCATTGCTCAGTAAATTTAGATTTAGTTTTAAATTAGTAATTCCATAGTTTAATTTCAATCGTTTAAATAAAATTGAATAGATACAAAATCAGTACTTGGAAATTATTAGTAATAACTCTTTCTGAGAATGATATTTTATTTATCACTTTATTACTTGTTGATCGTGTATACTTACACGTAAATTGTCAATATCAAATTCGGACAACAAATTTTTTGGCGTTATTGCTAGTGATTTATTCTAGTAAATATTTCAATATTAATTTCAATCAATTTGATCTTAATTTAAACATATTTAATTTTCTATTTTAATTGCTTTCGCAGGCACTCTTGAATTTTGTATGCTAACACGATTTAAAGGTTAGGAGCTACTATTGTACGATGACGAAATCAAGAGAAGGTTCTGAAACTTGCGAAAATATTGTCAATAAATAAAAATTCAAGAAACTATGGCTGAAGATGAACAGAAATTGCTAAGAGATTATGTTGTGCCGCTTGTTACGGAAATACAATCAAGCATTCAAAAGCCTGCAATTCAAGCAAACAATTTTGAAATCAAGCCGGATATCATCCAAATGATTCAGAATTCAGTGTAGTTTGAGGGTCTGCCTAATGATGACTCAAATGATCATTTGATGAATTTTTTGGAGATTTACGACACGTTCAAGTATAATGGGGTTATCGAAGATGCGATTAGACTCTGACTTTTTTCTTTCACACTTTGTGATAAGGCAAAGAGTTGATTGCATTCATTGTCGCCGGTTCTATTACTACGTAGACAGATTTAGCTCAAAATTTTTTAACTAAACTCTTTTCACCAACCAAAACTGCGAGGATGAGAAACGACATCACTTCATTCACACAGCATGATTCTGAGGCTCTCTATGAAGCTTGGGAGCGATTTAAAGATTTACTCCGAAAATGCCTTCACCATGGTATTCCTAAGTGATTGCAAGTTCAAACGTTATACAACGGGTTGTTTAGTGCTACTCGGACCAATATCAATGCAGCTATAGGTGGAGCATTGATGGAAAAAGTTTTTGATGAAGCTTACGAGTTATTAGAGACGATGACTGCCAACAATTATCAGTGTCCCTCTGCAAAAAAAATTTACTAATTGAAGTATCAAAGATTTGTTAACAAGTAAGATGAAACATATACAATTCAATGGTTATATATATATATATATATATATATATATATAACCATTAATTTAAAGTTGCTTTATTGATAGTGAATTAAGGAATAATAATTTCTAAGTTAGGAAATTAATTTAAAGTTACTTTCAAGGAAATGTATTTTGGAGTTTTAAAAAAATAGTAGACTTAACTACTTATTAGTAAGACTAAAAACGAAATTATCTCCAAATCAGTATCCTTGACGGAAAGGAGGACTCGGCTCCAATTTTCACTATTTGAAATATAAATAAATAAAATTTAAACAAAAATTTTGAGGGAGAGCCAATCCCCCCCTCCCCCCCCCCCCCCCCCCCCCTTCCCTCCCTCCCTCCCTCCCTCCCTAGTCATTATTAGCACAATGGAGACAAAAAAGGCTGCATGATCGCTTGACTTAGTGTCTCACTTTCGCTCTTTATCGTTTTTTTTTTTCCCCATAATGAACAAGTTCATTCATCACTTAAAACCATCATCATCTATCCTTAACTTTTTTAAATAGGACTTTGTAATGTTAGTAACATCATAGCAAACATATTCTCCCTTTTACTTTCTCATTTCCCTCTTTACTGAAAGAAAATGTTGAACACTTAGGCTGGAAATTAGAAATTATTAACATAATTACATGTTGTAATTGGCAACAAATGGTAAATTAGGCAGAAAGAGAAAAATGGGTAATTCAGTTGAAAGCTTATGGTGATCATATTAAAGGACTAGTTGTTGTCTGTGCCTGAAGGTACAAAATAATCAAAAAAATTGTCAATCATAAATATATTTGGAGAAGATTTGAATCCTTAATAGCTTGGGAAAGCTAATAGCATCACTCGGTTAGTTAGAAAATGAATCGAGATGGCAGGGAGATTCACCAAACCCCTTGTTCAAGTATCATGTTAATTATCGAGTTTTTTTTTTCAGAAATGTAAAATTTAAGAGTGAATGTAACTTAAATATTCATATGCTTCAAAAAATTTATCTCATTGTGGGGTTAGTTTTGCACCAACTTTCTTTTGGAGCTCCTCCAATTGAAGGTAAGACAACTAAGACAGAGTCCAATTTTATGTAAATGTGTTAAAATATGATACGACTCGTTGATACGACACAAAATTAGAGTTTGAATTTTTTTTAAGCCACCTATTTCGTAAACAAGTAAATATAATATAACACGATTAATAAACAAATCGAATATCAATAAAACTAATCAAAAGATATACGTGACACGACTTATTTTTATACTATTTACATATAATTAATACACAACACGAACCCCATATGACATAACTTGTTAGACACGTATTAATAAACCGAATCGAGTATGACTGAAATATTTTTTTATATGAACCTGTTAATATCCGACATGAAATCACGTTCACCTAATTGACGGGCCAATCCTAAAAGTCTGTCCGAGATGGTAAGAGTTTTGAAGTGGTGGACAACGGCCCGAATACCTTCTCCCTTGATCTCCCCTCCCCTCCCCACATAAGTTTTAGAATCAAGCACCAATGCCGACACAGGTTTGTTTCTGGTAAAGGAATTGGGAACAAAAAACAATAAATTTGACCAGACCGATGAAAGGAATCAACTGGAGGCTGGAGCAGTGAGCTGACAGATCAATGGATGGCTAATAGCTTCCTATTAATTCAAGAATTAGCCAAAAAAGCTTATTTTGGTGCATTTCTAATGGGCAGTGCAGAAAAACTAAACATAACAGATTCCTAAGAAAGCTTGTCTTCCTTGGCAAAAATGTTGACAAGAGCATAAGCTAATCACACAAATAGAGTGTAGTGAACAAATATTATGAGAAGAACTTGTTGATTTGTTACATAACGACACGATAAGCTTTATGCACAACACTGCCGACTGTACACCTTTAAGAAGTACAAGCATAAAGAAGCCAATTTAGCAAGGCCCTGCTCAGAGGATATCACAAGTTTATGCACAGCTATGCTGCGAGTAAAATCCAAAATTTAAGTTAGCAAGCCGAACATAACAAGAGCTTTATGAGGAGTGCTACCTGCCTCTCCCACTGCCGAAACGACCACAACCCCTGCGGTTTGGTTTCCTGCCACAACAGGAATTAACACCCTGACTAAATCCCTGAGAAGTTTCATTGTTGCCGGATATAAAAGATGATGGCTGCAAATCATAATTGTGTTGAATTTGTGAGCCATTATATGGAACTTTTGCTCCCACATTAATGGGTTGGAAAGCATGTCGACCTGTCAAACCCACGCCAGATGGTGGTTGGTTGAAGCCATGTTGACCCAAGCTTGCTGGCCAAGGGGAGAATGGTGGTGCCCTGACAAAATTTGTTTGCCCACCTGGTAAAACAAAATTAGAAGGCAACATATGACTATTATCCTGCTGAAATGGTGCCACATTAGGCAAAAGCATCTGGCATTGATGAGGATGATTCTGTTGTTGCCACGCCATACCATTTGTTGAAAAGCTACTAGGAAATCTCATATTCCGTGGCTGCTGACATGAGATTGTATTTGCCCACACTCCATTAGAAGGTGCATTCAAACCAGGGGCCTGTGAAACCTGTGGAAATGTTGGAAGGAAGCTAGACCCACCAGCAAAACTTTGGACTGATTCAGAGGAGCGCAGACAATTGTCCTGACCCAGTAATGCAGAGACAGGCGGGATGAAAAGCTGGTTCTGATCAGTCAATGGCTGACCCACACCTGCTGGTGCCTCTGTCATTGAAATTTGATCATTTTTCCAGTTACCACCACGGTTTTTAAACTTCTTCTTATCCTTTGTCCTGTTTCCAGATTTCTGGTCATTCGTTCCTCTTTTTGTCATTTTTAGCATCCTTTTGTATTCAGCCTCCTTCTCATCATCTGAAAATTCAACCTCATCAAACACCTCTTCATCATTTTCACCGGATGCATCATATCCCTTCTTGTAAAGATTGAGGTCATTGAGGACATGATTTGCAAATTCTGGAACAAATGAGATCAAAGTTCCTTGTTGGATCCCAGCAGGCACCTCACTGTCTGAATTGTATCTTATCATGTAGTAAGGATTCTTGACAGGTCCAAAGATTTCATCTACTAGCCCTAGTGGGGATCTGCTTTCTGTAATCCAAAGAATAGAACCCTCATTAAGAGGGTCGTGCTTCTCCATCCCCTCTACAATGACTTGGGCACCCATGATCTGTATAACAGTAAACAAAATTATCAAACCAAGCCCACTATGATATCACAGAAACAATATGCAGTTGATAAAATGGATCATCCAGCTTGGTATGCGACATCCATTGCACCTGCTTCTGCATATACATGTAATTAAAGAAGTATGTTTTCCTAGTAAGAATTGCTTCTTGTTTCTATGGCTTACCGACAGAACAACTCCAACGGGAAGAGTCTGATGATATGGCTGTAAGGTGATATTCACTGGAGGAACTGCAGGGAGATCCTGCAAGATAATCATTGATAACTATCAATCTAACTATTTACCAATTATTAAATAATAAACTAACTCAGAATGTAAATAATCAGAAAAAACTAGACAGAAAAGGACGATGCTAGTTCCCTAATTCAGGAAAAGAAAGGTAAAGAAGCCACATCCAATCCTTCACATGTACTCGTCATATCTTGCTAGTAGTAATTGAACAAGGCTGTTGAGTTGAGTTTGAGTCATGAAATGATTAGAAATCCACACAACAGGCGCTATGGTGTGGCAAATAAGATGCCTTGCATACAAAAATAACTTTCTTAAATGTTCAAATTTTACAGCTATATTGACTACAACAACCCCCACTCAACCCCAGTTTGATGCATTCATAAATGGAACCAACAAGTGCCATGTAACACACTGAAACCAGAAGGCAACCATAAGTATTATCTGCAGTCCATGGATCAAAATCACCAGCACTTTGTACAAGTCTCACAGGAAATGATATCACATTGGGACTTTGTAATTCTAACCAGGTGAATATAGTAGAAATGTCTGCACAATTCATCTTGGTCATTTATATACCGTGAATTCTAGCCAAAGAAATCCAAAAGACCCTTCTCCCACCTTTCCTTCCCCTTCTAACCCTGACTTGAGATGTTGAGAGTGTCGGGTTTGCATCATTTGACAGTTACTTCATAGTTGTTATTTGATTGTATCTTTGGACATTTCATTTTTTGCCTGTGATTACTATTTATTCCAGTCATATTGTGGACTTCTGCTTACTGCAATAGCCAGCTCACTGCCATATTTAAATAACTGGCATCACCTACAATTCCAAGAAATCAATGGCACCACATAATTTTTCCTTTCGACAGGCCAGAGATGAAAAAACACATGGTTACCCACTAATTTTGGCCTTTCAATGGCATATATTCTCTACATAATTTTTCCATTCAATAGGCCAAAGATGAAAAAATTATAATAATCCGATGATTTTTCCGAGCATAGTTCTAACCTAGGAAACACGTATACTTCCACAAGGGTACTGTGGCAGTGTTGGACACGTGTCCGTGTCGGACACGGCCATAAATTTTTTATTAAAAAAAATAACTTTTAATTATTAAAAAGAGTGTAATTTTTACTTTTTTAATATTTTTTTGTTATGCAACTTATATACTATAAAAGTTAATAGATGTCATGATATTTGATGAAAATAGTAGATATTTAATTTGATCTATTTTAATTTTAATCAAAACAATAATATTTGTTAAATCTTATTATTAATATTGTTACAATATATGTTTTATTTTTAATATATTACAACTCTATAATTATTTAAAAAATATATTATATTATTTTAATAACCGTACCCATGTCCTATATTCTTGAATTTTGTCGTATCTCCGTATCCGTATCATTTCGGATATGACACCCATATCCGTATCCCTGCTTCCTAGGGTCCAATTCATACAACCCACCAAGCTGGTCCCCACATCTATATCAAAGTCAATACTGGTGAACTCCCCATCTACCAACAGTGGGACTATTTGAAAAATCAGACAATGTTTTTTTTCCATCTTTTTCATCGGAGGGTCTTTCTAACTCATCTATCACAACAACCGTAACCTCAAAAATATGCTACAAGTATAATCTCAAATATCTAAGTTCTAAATTGAACCTCCATAAATAATGCAAATTGGTCTCTGATAGGACTAATAAATTGAAGTAGAAAATGACATCAAGGTTTGCACTTTGCAATGGCAGCAGACCATCTGATGTACCATCAGATACCTACCCTCTTAAGCTTTCTGTAATTGTCATTTCAATAAATAGTTTTCTGGTGTCTTAAATTAACATTGAAAACATAGCACTCAAAAAGTACCTCTCCACATCTTCATCTTCTCCACCAGTTCTAATGCTGTGACAAGCACCCTTTTTAGCTTCCCATCCTAATTAATAATAATTACCTCTCACCCATTACTCTAGGATTGCATAAATAATAGTCAAAACACTTAGCCAACTATGCCACATCATCACCCCAAACAAAAAACTTAGCTCAAAAGACAGCTGAGCACACTAAGAACAGTCTTAGGCCACCCAAATATCAAGGACCTCCAGCTACATTTCTGAGTTCTTTCGGACATAGGAGACTGCACATTCTTAGCTATATAATCAAACAGCAGCCTGCACATTCTTAGCTATATAATCAAACTGCAGCCTGCACATTCTTAGTTTTCCTTCAATCCAACAGATTAGTATATCTCCTCCTGACATAGCACCATGGTTCAAAGTATCGGCCGAGTCCGAGTCAACTCGGCCGAGTCGTATCCGTCTCAGCAGTTGCCGATCCGATAACGATAGCACCAGAGTTCAACACATGTGAAATAGAAGTACTGAGACCCAAGTACATAATTAAAGTGACAGACAACCTTTTTTTTTTTTTTAACCTCACTTAAACAAAATGTGCAGAGTTTTTGACTTTCGAACCTAACCTTGAAATGCAAATTCTTATCATAATGAAAAAAGAAGAAAAATACAAACATACGAAAATCCAAGTTGCAATGATTTATATAAAAAGTAAATGAGTGACATTGAGCAATATAATGAAGCAATTAAATAAAAAACGACATCAATTACCCCAAGTTCATTCTTGGACTTAATCGGTCCTTGAAGAGCACTGCTGCGACTACCATCCTCTTCATCATCACCATCATCACTCCAAGCATCCATCTTATGTGCATCAGAATCCCTTATCTCGCCCTCTTCCATGTTCACCTCTCCCTTCCCTTCCTCTTCTTTTCTTCTTCTCCTTCCTCCTCCTCCTCCTCTTCATCGGCATCATCATCTTCACTGCTAGAAGATGTGGTCGATGATGACAAAGATGAAGACGAACTCGCACTCTCAGAATCCGATTCACTATCACTCTCATCTTCATCACTCTCTATTTCCCTACCCTTCAAACCACTCCCGTCAATGCTCCGTACACCACCACTCCTGGCAACATCCCTATCAACACTCACTACTTCACCACTCTTCACATCATTCCCAATAACACCCTTACCATGAACACTTGATATTTGACCAGTCTTTGCGCCAAATGAATCAACAACCGAAGCTGGACTATTTGACACCCATTTAAACTAACCCTCTCCATCTCTTCCTCAATCAAACAACCGAAACTCCCCAACATTCCAAACTCACCTCCAACTGGGTTCTCAACTTTTATTTCCTTACAAACATGATCTTTACCAACTTCAATCCCACTCTCAAAAAATCCAATTCCAGCCATCCGTAAACTAGAATCGTCCGGGTCTGGAGTCAAGCAGCCCAAATTCCCCAACTTTTCAGACCCATGTACAATTGAATCTTCCACTTTAATTTCCTCGCTAAAACCAAGTTGAACCAATTCAGTACGCTGTCAACAACCACTGATTCAACCTTCTCTGAACCAACCCTCTCTGGTTCTGCCTTTAAGCCATTTATACCGCTATACGGCTCTGGGTTTTCTTCCATCCCATTCTTTATTGAGCCAAAATCAAGAAGTGAA